ACGGAAGCTAAGGAAAGCGAAGCGAAGCGAAGCTAAGCGAAGCAAAGCAAAGCAATGCGAAGCGAAGCGAAGCTAAGCGAATCTAAGCGAAGCTAAGCGAAGCGAAGCAAAGCTAAGCGAAGCTAAGCGAAGAGAAGCGAAGCGAAGCGATGCGAAGCTAAGCGAAGCTAAGCAAAGTTAAGGGAAGCTAAGCGAAGCAAAGCTAAGCGAAGCGAAAGAAAGCTGAGCGAAGCGAAGCGAAGTTAAGCGAATCTAAGCGAAGCTAAGCGAAGCTAAGCGAAGCGAAGCGAAGCTAAGCGAAGCGAAGCTAAGCGAAGCTAAGCGAAGCAAAGCGAAGAGAAGCAAAGAGAAGCGTAGCGAAGAGAAGCGAAGCTAAGAGAAGAAAAACAAAGCTACGCGCAGCTATGCGAAGCGAAGCGAAGCGAAGCAAAGCAAAGTGAAGCTAAGCGAACTGAAGCTAAGGGAAGCAAAGCGAAGCGAAGCGAAGCTAATCGAAGCTAAGCGAACCTAAGCGAAGCGAATCTAAGCGCAGCTATGCGAAGCGAAGCAAAGCTAAGGGAAGCGAAGCTAAGCTAAGCTAAACGCAGCTATGCGAAGCGAAGCAAGGCTAAGCGAAGCTAGGAGAAGCGAACAGAAGCTAAGGAAAGCGAAGTGAAGCAAAGCTAAACGAAGCTAAGCGAATCTAAGCAAAGCTAAGCGAAGCTAAGCGAAAAGAAGCGAAGCGAAGCTAAGCAAAGCGAAGCTAAGCGAAGCAAAGCAACGTTAAGGGAAGCTAAGCGAAGCAAAGCTAAGCGAATCTAAGCGAAGCTAAGCGAACCAAAGCGAAGGTAAGCGAAGCGAAGCAAAGAGAAGCGTAGCGAGAGAAGCGAAGCTAAGAGAAGCAAAACGAAGCTAAGCGCAGCTATGCGAAGCGAAGCGAAGCTAAGCAAAGCGAAGTAAAGAAAGCTAAGCGAAGCTAAGCGAAGCGAAGCAAAGCGAAGCGAAGCAAAGCGAAGCGAATCTAAGCGAAGCTAAGCGAAGCAAAGCGAAGCGAAGCGAAGCTAAGCAAAGCTAAGCGAAGCTAAGCGAAGAAGAGCGAAGCAAAGCCAAGCGAAGCTAAACGAAGCTAAGCGAAGCGAAGTGAAGCTAAGCGAAGCGAAGCGAAGCTAGGTGAAGCAAAGCGAATCTAAGCGAAGCTAAGCGAAGCAAGGCGAAGCGAAGCAAGGCTTAGCAAAGCTAAGCGAAGCTAAGCGAAGAGAAGCGAAGCAAAGCCAAGCGAAGCTAAACGAAGCTAAGCAAAGCTAAGCGAAGTGAAGTGAAGCTAAGCATAGCAAAGCTAAGTGAAGCAACGCAAAGTTAAGCGAAGCTAAGCGAAGCTAAGCAAAGAGAAGCGAAGAGAAGCCAAGCGAAGCCAAGCGAAGCGAAGCGAAGCAAAGCCAAGCGAAGCTAAATGAAGCTAAGCGAAGCAAAGCGAAGCTAAGCAAAGCGAAGCTAAGCAAAGCAAAGCGAAGTTTAGCGAAGCTAAGCGAAGCTAAGCGAAGCTTAGCAAAGCGAAGCGAAGCTAAGCGATGCTAAGCGAAGCGAAGGGAAGAGAAGCGAAGCGAAGCCAAGCAAGGCTAAGCGAAGAGAAGCGAAACAAAGCCAAGCGAAGCTAAACGAAGCTAAGCAAAGCGAAGCGAAGCGAAGCGAAGCGAAGCGAAGCCAAGCAAAGCGAAGCTAAGAGAAGGGAAGCGAAGCAAAGCGAAGCTAAGTGAAGCAAGGCGAAGCTAAGCGAAGCTAAGGGAAGCGAAGCGAAGCGAAGAGAAGCGAAGAGAAGCGAAGAAAATCTAAGCGAAGCTAAGTGAAGTGAAGCGAAGCGAAGCGAAGAGAAGCGAAGAGAAGCGAAGAAAATCTAAGCGAAGCTAAGTGAAGTGAAGCGAAGCTAAGGGAAGCGAAGCAAAGCGAATCTAAGCGAAGCAAGGCAAAGCTAAGCAAAGCTAGGCGAAGCGAAGCAAAGAGAAGAATAGAGAAGCGAAGCGAAGAGAAGCGAAGCTAATTGAAGCAAAGCAAAGCTAAGCGCAGCTATGCGAAGCGAAGCGAAGCTAAGCAAAGCTAAGCGAAGCTAAGGGAAGCGAACTGAAGCTAAGGGAAGCAAAGCAAAGCTAAGTGAAGCGAAGCAAATCGAAGCTAAGCGAAGCGAAGAGAAGCGAAGACAAGCGAAGCGAAGCTAAGTGAAGCAAAGCGAAGCTAAGCGAAGCGAAGCGAAGCGAAGAAAAGCATAGAGAAGCAAAGCTAAGAGAAGCACAGCGAAGCTAAGCGAAGCAAAGCAAAGTGAATCTAAGCTAAGCGAAGTGAAGCTAAGCGAATCTAAGCGAGCGAAGCAATGCGAATCTAAGCTAAGCGAAGTGAAGCTAAGCGAATCTAAGCAAAGCTAAGCGATGCGAAGCAATCTAAGCGAAGCTAAGCGAATCAAAGCTAAGTGAAGCGAAGCAAAGCGAACAGAAGCAAAGAGAAGCGAAGCGAAGAGAAGCAAAGCTTAGCGCAGCTATGCGAAGCGAAGCAAAGCTAAGCGAAGCGAAGTGAAGCTAAGGGAAGCGAACTGAAGCTAAGGGACGCTAAGCTAAGCGCAGCTATGCGAAGCGAAGCAAGGCTATGCGAAGCTAAGAGAAGCGAACGGAAGCTAAGGAAAGCGAAGCGAAGCGAAGCTAAGCGAAGCAAAGCAAAGCAATGCGAACGAAGCGAATCTAAGCGAAGCTAAGCGAAGCGAAGCAAAGCTACGCGAAGCTAAGCGAAGAGAAGCGAAGCGAAGCGATGCGAAGCTAAGCGAAGCTAAGCAAAGCGAAGCAAAGCAAAGTTAAGGGAAGCATAGCGAAGCAAAGCTAAGCGAAGCGAAAGGAAGCTAAGCCAAGCGAAGCGAAGTTAAGCGAATCTAAGCGAAGCTAAGCGAAGCAAAGCGAAGCTAAGCGAAGCTAAGCGAAGCTAAGCGAAGCTAAGCGAAGCTAAGCGAAGCTAAGCGAAGCTAAGCGAAGCTAAGCGAAGCTAAGCGAAGCTAAGCGAAGCTAAGCGAAGCTAAGCGAAGCTAAGCGAAGCAAAGCGAAGAGAAGCAAAGAGAAGCGTAGCGAAGAGAAGCGAAGCTAAGAGAAGAAAATCGAAGCTAAGCGCAGCTATGCGAAGCAAAGGGAAGCGAAGTGAAGCGAAGCAAAGCAAAGCTAAGCGAACTGAAGCTAAGGGAAGCGAAGCTAAGCGAAGCAAAGCGAAGCGAACCGAAGCTTAGCGAAGCGATGCGAAGCTAAGCGAAGCTAAGCGAAGCGAAGCTAAGCGAATCTAAGCGCAGCTATGCGAAGCCAAGCAAAGCTAAGGGAAGCGAAGTAAAGCTAAGGGAAGCGAAGCGAAGCTAAGCTAAACGCAGCTATGCGAAGCGAAGCAAGGCTAAGCAAAACTAGGAGAAGCGAACAGAAGCTAAGGAAAGCGAAGCTCAGCAAAGCGAAGCAAAGCTAAGCGAATCCAAGTGAAGCTAAGCGAGCGAAAAGAAGCGAAGCGAAGCTAAGCAAAGCGAAGCTAAGCGAAGCAAAGCAACGTTAAGGGAAGCTAAGCGAAGCGAAGCTAAGCGAATCTAACCGAAGCTAAGCGAAGCAAAGCGAAGCTAAGCGAAGAGAAGCAAAGAGAAGCGTAGCGAGAGAAGCGAAGCTAAGAGAAGCAAAACGAAGCTAAGCGCAGCTATGCGAAGCGAAGCGAAGCTAAGCGAAGCTAAGCGAAGCGAAGTGAAGCTAATGGAAGCAAACCGAAGCAAAGAAAGCTAAGCGAAGCGAAGCGAAGCGAAGCGAAGCGAATCTAAGCGAAGCAAAGCGAAGCGAAGCGAAGCGAAGCGAAGCTAAGCGAAGAGAAGCGAAGCAAAGCCAAGCGAAGCTAAACGAAGCTAAGCGAAGCGAAGCGAAGCTAAGCATAGCGAAGCTAGGTGAAGCAAAGCGAATCTAAGCGAAGCTAAGCGAAGCAAAGCGAAGCGAAGCGAAGCTTGTTGTGTGATGTCATCATATGCTATCACATTCTGTCTGCCTCCCATCTCTTGTTTCAATTCGTATGTATTGTTTGACTCTGTGTGAAAGAATTTGTGTGTGGTGTGTTCTGGAGTTTGGGAATGTGTTTTGTGTTATTCTGTCTGAGCAGGTATTTGTGATGATAGATCTTGAGAAGATCTTTCCGACGCAACAAGAATCGCTTCAATCGGAGCAAGAACGCGAAAGCTATGAAGATTCAAAGTTCATGAGCTTGCGTTACAATTGCGGCGGTTACAAAGTGAAGTTGTGGGGTGACTTTATATGGAGTTGGGACCTTTGGGGGTTGGGGAAATTTGTCACTCTACTGTAACAGCTGCAAATTGGTTGGGAACAACCAAGCTAGGTTGGCAAGGGTGGCCAACTTGGATGGATTGGTTGGGAAGGGACAAATGTCAAAGTTGGGGTTCCTATAGGGGGGGAATCTTTGTGATAATGGGGTTTCCTTGGTTGGGGACTCTCTTGGGACCTTCCCTCTCATCCCTCTCTTTCTATCCCAACCTTTCTCTTGCTCCTCTAATTCCTTGTGAGATTCTTGAACTTTGATTAAACTTTTGAGATTGAGTTAAGTTCTCCTCCTACAGCTTACCCCCTAGTGCGTCGAAAGCCATAGCGTCGCGAATACTTCATTAATCAACGTGGTTTGAATTGGGAACGGTAGCTGAGCTTAAGAGCTACAACATATCCGAGTTTCGCGACATTCCAACGGCTAGATTTTTGTCGACGTCGTTTCTTGTGAGGACGACTTTTCTGTCCAGAATTTCGGATTTATATTTTGAGTAATTCTAGCTCCTAAGTTCACCTAGACTCCGTCCTTAATCCTAACAAGTGGTATCAGAGCGATATTAAGGACATTGAGAGGAGTCTACAGAAGTTTTGAAGACCCTTCTAGACCCACCATGGCCTGTGGGTGTGCCTAAGTGGTGTTCTAAAGGTTGGATGTGTCTTCCGCTAAGGGGAAACTCTGCCGAAATTTCGTGGACGCCGATACTTGTGAAAATATCGAGGGAGCTGAGTGTGGACAGCAAAGGGGAGCTGAAACTCGTCATTTCTCAAGGAGAAGATGAATGAGAGAGGAGGAGATGCTAATGGGAGAGGAGCTGTACCTGAAAAGACAAGTGAGCCGCCGCCATCAAAAGTTGAAGCTTTGGATGGCTCCAATTATGAGGAAAGGAGCGGTCGGATGAGGAGTGCCTTCAAACGCTACATGATCCTGAAGATTGCTGTTGGGGAAGAGAAGATGCCGGAAGAAGGCGAAGCACGCGAACGGTGGATTGAGAAAAGGGCGGTGCTTTTCGACCTCATCCTTCAATCGGTCAACAAGGAGATGTTCGAGCACATCAAGGATCTTGTGGAAGCGGATGATTCGGGTCCAAGGGCGTGGAAAATACTACGCGATGTGATTCAGCCCAACACTCTCCCGATGGTGATCGTGCTCGAGAAGGAACTTGCTGCCATCTCCATGCGACCAGGGGACGATGTGAAGCCGGTCCTTGACAAGATCAAGGACACCTATGCAAGGATGGCAGCAGCGGGCAGCAGTGTATCTCAGCTGCAGCAGTGCACCAAGATCATCTCGGTGTTGGACAACTCTTGGGACAAGCTCATCCCCACCCTCAACTCTCAGCAAGATCAATGGACACCTGAGTGGCTAAGGCAGCAGATTCTGCAGGAGGACTTCCGCAGACGCCATGTGGGAGGTGGTGCTTCCACTAAGACTGCTGAGGGGTATGGAGCTGCAGGGCGCGGCAGAGGAAGAGGGGGTTGGAGAGGCCGAGGCCGTGGGAGGAGCTTTGGCAGAGGTAGTGGCCGAGGTGACTATAATGAGGGGCATGGGAGCTCTAGTGGCAAGGGGAGTACCAGAATCGAGGGCACCTGCTGGTACTGCAAGAAGGTCGGGCATCCTTGGTTTAAGTGCTTCAGCAGGCCGGAGGGATGGGCACCTCCAGGCATGAAGCCGCCCAGTGGTGAACGCGCACAAGGTGGCGCTGTGCAAGGCTCAGGTGCACAAGGTGAAGGTGCACAAGGTAATACCTATCCTGGGATGTTTCTCATGGTTGAGGATGTGCATAGGCATGAGGGTGATGTGGGATCTGTGGGAAAGGTTGTGATGCACCCTCTCACGCACTGGGTGATTGATTCGGGTTGCACCAGTCACATGACCCCACGGGCAGATTTGCTTGATGAGGTAAAACCCCCTGGGAAGATTAAGTATGTGGCAGCAGTGTCAGGTGCTTTGCTCCCTGTCATTGGTGTTGGGAATGCCAAGGTTAAGGGAGCTAATGGGGAACTTGTGGGGCTTGGGAATGTTCTGCTGGTTGAAGGTTTGTCTGCTAACCTTCTCTCTGTGCGACGACTGCAGAAGAGTAAGGCCGAAGTGACCTTTGGACGAACCAGCTGCCGTGCTAAGCTTGGGAAGAAGGTGTTGTGGAGTCTGGAAGAGGAGAGCAGCTGCATCAAGGATCTGTGGCAGCTGCCCATCATCCCTTGGAATGGGAAGACTCCAACAGCAGCAACGGCAGCAGCGGCAAAGGCAACAGAAGGAGGAGATGCAACTGCACCAACTGATGGGGTCCTGGAAGCAGTCAAGAATGTGCAGCAGCAGCAGACACTTGGCGAGGTGCTTGCTGGTGTGGATGCGAGTGCGGCATGGGCCAAGGCTTCATCTAGGAGTGGTGGGGCCAATTGGGAGACATGGCATGAGAGGCTGTGTCATGTGAACTTCCCTATGCTGCAGAAGTTGGTGAAGGATGGGAGCCTGAAAGGCTTGGAGGTGAAAGGGGGAGTGAAGGAGATTGGGAGCTGCCCTACATGCTTGGAGACCAAGTTCTCCAAGTTCCCCTTCAACAGCACTACAGGACCAGCCAAGATCCCACTTGCACTTGTGCACATGGATGTGGTGGGGCCCACAAGAGCCCTTTCCCTCTCAGGCAGCCGTTATTTCTTGACAATTGTGGATGACCACACTCGGGCAGTGTGGGTTTACCGTTTGAAGAGCAAGGGGGAGGTGGCAGCGGCTGTCCTTAAGGAGTGGATGCCTAGAGCTCAGAGGGAATGCGGACACAAGGTGAAGGTGATCCGCAGTGACAATGGTGGGGAGTTCATTGGAGCTGATTTTGAGGGGGAGTTGAAGAGGAAGGGGATCCAGCATCAACTGACAGTGCCCTACAACCCGCAGCAGAATGGCGTGGCTGAGAGGTTCAAAAGGACCCTGCAGGAGGGGGCACGCACTCTCCTTGGGCGTGCAGGGCTGCCTGATCCGTTTTGGGTGTCTGCACTGAGGCAGGTCACCCTTGTGAAGAATAGGGTGCTGGCTACAGTTAGGGAGAAGGAGTGGATCCCATATACCAAGTGGTATGGGAGTGCTCCAGCTGTGAACATGCTGAGGGCATTTGGGTGCATGGTGGTGTTTCATGTGCCTAAGGAGAAAAGGGGGAAGTTAGAGGCTTCTGGAAGATGGGGTGTGCACTTAGGGATTGCAAAGGATCACAAGGGATGGCTGCTATGGGACTTGACCACCCAGAAGCTAACAGTGTCAAGGGATGTGAAGTTTCTTGAGTCCCTGTACTACAAGGAATGGAAGCAGCAGCAACAAAAGCTTCCATCTACACCACTGATTGTGGAGGCAGATGAGTTGCAGCAGCCTTCAAGGCAAGTGGAGGTTGCAGTGTCTGAGGAGGAGATGTCTGGGGTGACTGAAGAAGGGGGAGCAGCTGAAGTGGAGCAGCAGCAGTAGCAACATGAGTCTCCACCTCGCGTTCCACACCCGCCTGAGCGACCTAGGAGGGATGTGCGCCCTCCGGTGAGGCTGACCTATGGGGGAAGAGGCAAGCCGAATGTGGTGCAGGCTGGGAGTGTGGTTGAGCAGATTGAGGAAGATGAGATCGCTCACTGCTACTGGGCACCAAGCCCTGAGCCCAAGACTCGAGAGGAGGCCTTGAATGGACCAAATGGGGAGAAGTGGAAGGCGAGTGAGGATGAGGAGTTCGGGTCCCTAATTGAGAACGAGACATGGGACCTGTGTGACTTGCCTCCTGGAAAGAAGGCAATCACTTCCAAGATGATCTACAGGCACAAGTATGGACCTGAAGGGGAGCTGACCCGCTACAAGTCTAGGCTTGTGGCACGGGGGTTTCAGCAGACAAAGGGGAAGGACTATGATGAGGTGTTTGCTCCTGTGGGGAAAGGAACAACACTGAGGGTGCTGTTGGCGATAGCTGCACTCCTGGGATGGAAGATTCGGCAGATGGATATTGTGACTGCCTTTCTGAATGGGATCATTATGGAGGAGGTGTACATGAAGCAGCCAGAGGGGCTGGATGACGGGAGCGGCAGGGTCTGCAGGCTGAAGAAGGCCATCTATGGCCTTAAGCAGGCGCCTCGTGCATGGTATCACAAGTTGGAGGAGGCGCTGCTGGCTGGGGGTTTTAAGAAGAGTGAGTGTGACCCCAGCCTGTTCCTGCTGCAGGAGAAGGATGAAATCCTCATGCTCCTGGTGTACGTGAATGATATCCTTCTCTTCTCTGCATCAACTGCTTTGCTGGACAGCGCAGAGCAGATGTTGTAGATGCAGTTCAAGTGCTCCAAGATGGGTGAGGTGAAGTACTACTTGGGGATGCATGTGGAGAGAGATGTGGAAAAGGGTGTGCTGAGGTTGCACCAAAGGAAGTACTGTGAGGGGCTGGCTCAGAAGTATGGGCTGCAAGATGGGGGAAAGCCAGCAACACCACTACCTTTAGGGTTTACTGTGGAGCCATGTGCTGATGAGGAGGTAGTGGGTGAGAGTGACAGGAAGCTGTTTCATTCGATGGTTGGGTCACTGAACTATGCTGCAAATCATACACGGCCTGACATTGCATTTGCTACATCACGGTTGGCTAGTGTGGTCTCACGCCCTAGTCATGAGCAGCTGGAAGCGGCCAAGAGGTTGGTCTGCTATGTGAGTGCTACGGCATCAGTGGGATTGGAGTACAGTGGAGTGAGGCAGCGGTTGCAGAGAGGTGCTGCAGATGTGAAGAGTGGAGAGATGCTCTTGAGTTGCTATACTGACGCTAGCTTCAACTCAGTGAAAGCGGATGGCACCAGCATTGGGGGTTATGTGTGCTTGCTAGGAGGTGGTGCTGTGAGCTGGCGCAGCAAGAAGCAGAATGAGGTGGGATTGTCCTCATGTGAGACTGAGTACATGGCCTTACACCATTGGGTCAAGGAAGTGGTGTGGCTGAGGCGCTTGTTGGAGGAGTTGGGAGTTGGTCAGGAGGAGCCGACAGTTGTGTTCTGTAACAATGAGTCTGCAGTGAAGCTGGCCAAGAATGCTTGTCTGCATGGGCTGACAAAAGACATAAGGCCTAAGTGGCATTGGGTGAGGAGACTCCTTGATAAGGAGGTGCGGCTAGAGATAGTGAAGACCCATCAGCAGGCAGCAGATATTTTCACTAAGCGTCTGGCGGAGGCGGATCATTGGAAGGGCATGAAGCTTGCTGGGATGAGTGTGCATTGAGTATGCATGCTTGAGATGTTGGTATGGTGGATGATGGTTGGCAGCCAGAGAGGGAGATTGTTGTGTGATGTCATCATATGCTATCACATTCTGTCTGCCTCCCATCTCTTGTTTCAATTCGTATGTATGGTTTGACTCTGTGTGAAAGAATTTGTGTGTGGTGTGTTCTGGAGTTTGGGAATGTGTTTTGTGTTATTCTGTCTGAGCAGGTATTTGTGATGATAGATCTTGAGAAGATCTTTCCGACGCAACAAGAATCGCTTCAATCGGAGCAAGAACGCGAAAGCTATGAAGATTCAAAGTTCATGAGCTTGCGTTACAATTGCGGCGGTTACAAAGTGAAGTTGTGGGGTGACTTCATATGGAGTTGGGACCTTTGGGGTTGGGGAAATTTGTCACTCTACTGTAACAGCTGCAAATTGGTTGGGAACAACCAAGCTAGGTTGGCAAGGGTGGCCAACTTGGATGGATTGGTTGGGAAGGGACAAATGTCAAAGTTGGGGTTCCTATAGGGGGGGAATCTTTGTGATAATGGGGTTTCCTTGGTTGGGGACTCTCTTGGGACCTTCCCTCTCATCCCTCTCTTTCTATCCCAACCTTTCTCTTGCTCCTCTAATTCCTTGTGAGATTCTTGAACTTTGATTAAACTTTTGAGATTGAGTTAAGTTCTCCTCCTACAGCTTACCCCCTAGTGCGTCGAAAGCCATAGCGTCGCGAATACTTCATTAATCAACGTGGTTCGAATTGGGAACGGTAGCTGAGCTTAAGAGCTACAACATATCCAAGTTTCGCGACATTCCAACAGCTAGATTTTTGTCGACGTCGTTTCTTGTGAGGACGACTTTTCTGTCCAGAATTTCGGATTTATATTTTGAGTAATTCTAGCTCCTAAGTTCACCTAGACTCCGTCCTTAATCCTAACAAAGCTAAGCAAAGCTAAGCGAAGCTAAGCAAAGAGAAGCGAAGCAAAGCCAAGCGAAGCTAAACGAAGCTAAGCAAAGCTAAGCGAAGCGAAGCGAAGCGAAGCGAAGCTAAGCATAGCGAAGCTAGGTGAAGCAACGCGAAGCTAAGCGAAGCTAAGCGAAGCTAAGCGAAGAGTAGCGAAGAGAAGCCAAGCGAAGCCAAGCGAAGCGAAGCGAAGCAAAGCCAAGCGAAGCTATTCGAAGCTAAGCGAAGCGAAGCGAAGCTAAGCAAAGCGAAGCTAAGCAAAGCAAAGCGAAGTTTAGCGTAGCTAAGCGAAGCAAAGCGAAGCTAAGCGAAGCTAAGCGAAGCTAAGCAAAGCGAAGCAAAGCTAAGCGATGCTAAGCGAAGCGAAGCGAAGAGAAGCGAAGCGAAGCCAAGCGAAGCTAAGCGAAGCTTAGCGAAGAGAAGCGAAGCAAAGCCAAGCGAAGCTAAACGAAGCTAAGCAAAGCGAAGCGAAGCTAAGCGAAGCTATGCAAAGCGAAGCTAAGCGAAGCAAAGTGGAGTTAAGCGAAGCTAAGCGATGCTAAGCGAAGCGAACCGAAGAGAAGCGAAGACAGGCAAAGCGAAGCTAAGCGAAGCTTAGAGAAGTGAAGCGAAGCGAAGCAAAGCGAAGCAAAGCGAAGCGAAGCGAAGCTAAGCGAAGCAAAGCGGAGAGAAGCATAGAGAAGCGAAGCAAAAAGAAGCGAAGCGAAAAGAAGCGAAGCTAAGAAAAGCAAAGCAAAGCTAAGCGCAGGTATGGGAAGCGAAGCGAAGCGAAGCTAAGGGTAGCGAACCGAAGCTAAGGGAAGCGAAGCGAAGCTAAGCGAAGCTAGGCGAAGCTAAGCGAAGCTAAGCGAAGAGAAGCGAAGAGAGGCAAAGCGAAGCGTAGCTAAGCAAAGCTAAGAGAATCGAAGCGAAGCGAAGCTAAGCGAAGTGAGGCGAAGCGAAGCTAAGCCAAGCTAAGCGAAGCTAAGCAAAGAGAAGCAAAGAGAGGCAAAGCGAAGCTAAGCGAAGCGAAGCTAAGCGAAGCTAAGAGAAGCGAAGCGAAACGAAACAAAGCGAAGTGAAGCGAAGCGAAGCAAAGCGAAGCTAAGCGAAGCGAAGAGAAGCGAAGAGAAGCGAAGGGAAGCTAAGCGAAGCGAAGCGAAGAGAAGCATAGAGAGCAAAGCGAAAAGAAGCGAAGCTAAGAGAAGCAAAGCGAAGCTGAGCGCAGGTATGCGAAGCGAAGCGAAGCTAAGCGAAGTGAAGCGAAGCGAAGCGAAGCTAAGGGAAGCGAACCGAAGCTAAGGGAAGCAAAGCGAAGCTAAGCGAAGCTAAGCGAAGCAAACTGAAGAGAAGCGAAGAGAGGCAAAGCGAAGCTAAACGAAGCTAAGCGAAGCTAAGCAAATCTAAGCGAAGCTAAGCAAAGCGAAGCTAAGCGAAGCTAAGCAAAGCTAAGCGAAGCTAAGCGAAGCGAAGTGAAGCTAAGCGAAGCTAAGCGCAGCTAAGCGAAGCGAAGCGAAGCTAAGCGAAGCGAAGCGAAGCAAAGTGAAACGAAGCAAAGCTTAGCGAAGCGAAGCGAAGCAAAGCTAAGCAAAGCTAGGCGAAGCTAGGCAATGCGAAGCGAAGCTAAGAGAAGCTAAGCGAAGCAAAGTGAAGCTAAGCGAAGCGAAGCCAAGCTAAGCAAAGCGAGGCTAAGCGAAGCGAACAGGAAGCTAAGCGAAGCGAAGCGAAGCTAATCGAAGCGAAGATAAGTGAAGCGAACATGAAGCTAAGCGAAGCTAAGCGAAGCGAAGCGAAGCTAAGCGAAGCAAAGTGAAGAGAAGCTAAGCGAAGCGAAGGGAAGCTAAGCGAAGCTAAGCGAAGCGAAGCGAAGCTAAGCGAATCTAAGCAAAGCTAAGCGAAGCAAAGCGAAGCTCAGCGAAGCGAAGCGAAGAGAAGTAAAGAGAAGCGTAGCAAAGAGAAGCCAAACTAAGAGAAGCCAAACTAAGAGAAGCAAAACGAAGCAAAGCGCAGCTATGCGAAGCGAAGCGAAGCTAAGCGAAGCTAAGCGAAGCGAAGCTAAGCAAAGCTAAGCGAAGCAAAGTGAAGCGAAGTGAAGCGAAGGGAAGCGAATCGAAGCTAAGGGAAGCGAAGCGAAGCAAAGCTAAGCGAAGCTAAGCGAAGGGAAGCAAAGCTAAGCGAATCGAAGCAAAGCCAAGCGAATCTAAGCGAAGCTAAGCGAGGCAAAGCGAAGCGAAGCGAAGCAAAGCCAAGCGAAGCTAATCGAAGCAAAGAGAAGCGAAGCTAAGCAAAGAGTAGCTAAGTGAAGCAAAGCGAAGTTAAGCGAAGCAAAGCGAAGCTAAGCGAAGCGAAGCTAAGCGAAAGCGAAGCGAAGCTAAGCGAAGTGAAGCGAAGCGAAGCGAAGCTAAGCAAAGCGAAGCAAAGCTAAGCGAAGCTAAGCGAAGCTAAGCGAAGCGAAGCGAAGAGAAGCGAAGAGAGGCAAAGCGAAGCTAAACGAAGCGTAGCTAAGCGAAGCTAAGAGAAGCAAAGCGAAGAGAAGCGGAGCGAAGCTAAGCAAAGCGAAGCGAAGCGAAGCTAAGCGAAGCGAAGCGAAGCGAAGCTAAGCGAAGCGAAGCTAAGCGAAGCGAAGCGAAGAGAAGCGAAGAGAGGCAAAGCGAAGCTAAACGAAGCGTAGCTAAACGAAGCTAAGAGAAGCGAAGCGAGGCGAAGCTAAGCGAAGCGAAGCTAAGCGAGGCGAAGCAAAGAGAAGCGAAGAAAGGCAAAGCGAAGCTAAGCGAAGCAAAGCTAAGCGAAGCTAAGAGAAGGGAAGCGAAGCTAAGCGAAGTGAAGCGAAGCGAAGCTAAGCGAAGCGAAGCAAAGCGAAGCTAAGTGAAGCTTTGCGAAGCTAAGTGAAGCGAAGCGAAGAGAAGCGAAGAGAAGCGAAGCGAAGCTAAGCGAAGCTAAGAGAAACGAGGCGAAGCTAAGCGAAGCAAGGCGAAGCTAAGCGAAGCTAAGGGAAGCGAAGCAAAGCGAAGAGAAGCGAAGAGAAGCGAACCAAAGCTAAGCGCAGCTATGCAAAGTGAAGCAAAGCAAAGGGAAGCGAAGCAAAGCGAAGCTAAGCGAAGCGAAGCGAAGCGAAGCGAAGCTAAGCGAAGCGAAGCAAAGCGAAGAGAAGCGAAGCGAAGCGAAGCGAAGCAAAGTGAAGAGAAGCGAAGCGAAGAGAAGCATAGAGAAGCGAAGCGAAGAGAAGCGAAGCTAAGAGAATCAAAGCGAAGCTAAGCGCAAGTATGCGAAGCAAATCGAAGCTAAGCGAAGCTAAGCAAAGCGAAGTGAAGCTAAGCGAAGCATAGTGAAACGAAGCAAAGCTAAGCGAAGCGAAGCAAAGCAAAGCGAAGCGAAGCGAAGCTAAGAGAAGCGAAGCGAAGCTAAGAGAAGCTAAGCAAAGCTAGGCGAAGCTAGGCGAAGCGAAGCAAAGAGAAGCAAAGAGAAGCGAAGCAAAGCTAAGCGAAGCAAAGCAAAGCTAAGCGAAGCAAAGCGAAGCTTAGCAAAGCTAAGAGAAGCAAAGCGAAGCAAGGCGAAGCTAAGCGAAGCTAAGGGAAGCGAAGCGAAGAAAAGAGAAGCGAAGCAAAGCTAAGCGAAGTGAAGCAAAGCAAAGCTAAGCGAAGCTAAGCAAAGCGAAGCTAAGCGAAGCGAAGCAAAGAGAAGCTAAGCGAAGCTAAGCGAAGCGAAGCTAAGCGAAGCGAAGCTAATCGAAGCTAAGCAAAGATAGGCGAAGCTAGGCGAAGCGAAGCTAAGAGAAGCAAAGAGAAGCGAAGCAAAGCTAAGCGAAGCAAAGCGAAGCTTAGCGAAGCTAAGAGAAGCAAAGCGAAGCAAGGCGAAGCAAAGGGAAGCGAAGCGAAGAGAAGAGAAGCGAAGCAAAGCTAAGCGAAGTAAAGCAAAGCGAAGCCAAGCGAAGCTAAGCGAAGCGAAGCGAAGCTAAGCGAAGCGAAGCTAAGCGAAGCTAAGGGAAGTGAACCAAAGCTAAGGGAAGCGAAGCGAAGCGAAGCGAAGCGAAGCGATGCAAAGCTAAGCGAGGCCAAGCGAAGTAAAGCGAAGCGAAGAAAAGCGAAGAGAAGCGAAGCGAAGCTAAGTGAAGCGAAGCGAAGCGAATAGAAGCATAGAGAAGCGAAGCAAAGAGAAGCGAAGCTAAGAGAATCAACGCGATGCTAAGCGCAGGTATGCGAAG